TTCCTTCCTTCCTTCCTTCCAAAATTCCTTCCAAAATTCCTTCCAAAATTCCTTCCAAAATTCCTTCCTTCCTTCCAAAATTCCTTCCTTCCTTCCAAAATTCCTTCCAAAATTCCTTCCAAAATTCCTTCCTTCCTTCCGAAATTCCTTCCGAAATTCCTTCCTTCCTTCCAAAATTCCTTCCTTCTTTCCAAAATTCCTTCCTTCCTTCCAAAATTCCTTCCAAAATTTCTTCCTTCCAAAATTCCTTCCAAAATTCCTTCCTTCCAAAATTCCTTCCAAAATTCCTTCCTTCCAAAATTCCTCCCTTCTCATCCCAGCCATGTGTTATTTTTTTCAGGCTGCTGGGGAGCATTGCAGGCTCAGCAGAAGCTCCTGATGGAGCTGCAGATCAGAGTTTTTCTGTGATCTGGGCAGTTCCCTGCCAGGACGATGAGCAGCAGAATGGGAATTGATGCTCCTGGAAAGGGCAGGGCAGGGCAAGCAACTTCTGAACATCCTGGAAAGCGAGCAGGAGGGCACAGGCTGGAATTTAAATACCCAGGAACGAGCTGTGCTCCAGGGCCAGGCCAGCTCTGCTGAGGGTTTCTTTCAGGGCAGAAAAAAAATGTGTGCAACACCTTTATGAACCCTCAGATCCCTTCTCTATGGGTTTTGTCTCTTTGTTGGAGTGGTTTCCATGACCTTCACCCCTCTATGCTGTTTGTATTTTTCCTTTTATTTGGTTGATTTGGTTTGGGTTGGTTTGGAGAGTCGTGTGGCTGGGGAGTTTTTGGGATCTTTTTTTTTGTTTTTCTRGTATATTTTCTTTCTGCTTCACAGAAGTTAGAGAATTACCTGTAAGACTTAGATATGTGTTTTCCTCAAAATGATTGTCCTGAARCACAAAGGTCCAGAGAGAACATCAGGCTTGTTACAAGGTGGAGGAGAGGTTGATAACCCTGGAGGAAAGGATGGAAAACATGATTTGATTGTGAGTAAGTGCCTTCTCTTGGGTGCTGGAGAACAGTGCAAAAATTGGCACTTCATACAGCAATCAAAGTCAGAAATTTAATCCTTCCATTTAATGACCCAGGCTTTGTGCCTGTGCAAATTTTCTAATCACAGAAGCAGCAAAGGCAAATACTTTTATCAAAGGCACAGGGCTGTTCAGCAAGTCAGCCAGGCTTCTTTGTGCTATCAGCACATCTCAAGATAAGAATTAYATCTCCTCAAAGCCCATATCTGGAGGATGGTGTAATAAGTCAAGCTGCTGGAGCAGCCTGAAAGCAGTGGCAGTTAAATCAAGCATTCTCTGCTTTAATGGGAGCAGGGAAATACCTCAAATGCTTGCTCTGTGAGGCTCAGAGGGAAAGGATTTCCCTTGTCAGAGCTCTCAGCTATGGTTTGACAGGGAAATGTGCCTGCAGGGGTACAGTGAGGCTCATCATATTGGTGTTTTTGGTGCATTGATGAAGGATTTGGATCCTTATGAGAGTCTTAAAAAAAGAAAAAAAAATTGGGGAGAGGAGGGCCAGGTTTCTTGTGAGCAGCAAACAAAGGGGAGATGCCCATGTGAGTGCTCAGACACGTGTTCAGCCTTTCTGCTGTGGGGTGTTTGWGCAGGGATGGGCACAGCTCCTCCATTCCATGGGCTGGGGCTTGTTACCATGCTCACYAGTGCATAATCCTAATTATCTGAAAATTCAAGAGCTAGAATCAGCTTGTGTCTAAACTTTCCTTTAAAAACCCGGGGTCCTTCTGACCCTGGGTGACACAGAGCCTCCAGGAGGCTGCAGCCCATCCAAAGGTGGAGATTTCAGTGCAGGGAACCTTACACAGCCCAAGTCTGCACTGAGACTCTGGGGGACTCATTATCTTTGTATTTGCCAGGTTGTGTAGGTAGATTTTTTTCCTGTGGCTAATTATTCAATGCCAGTCTGATTCATACTTCCAGCTACTTGTCATTTTTGTGATTAAATTCCTCAGCGATGATAAGGTCTGGAGAAAAACAAAGATAACAAGACAAGGCTAGAATGTGCTYGTTGCAGTCTTGCCCAGTTTAGAGATTATTCCCTAAATTGTTTCTTTTTCAGATTAGTTCCAAATGGGCTTTTCCTCTTGCTTCCCCCATTGATAAATGCTCAGGAAGGAATAATGAGTATTTCACAGTGGAGTTCACAGTTTAAGGCTTGTTCTTGTACGTGCATGAGCTCTGACCCCTCACAAGGAACACCACCACCACTTCCAACAAAAATAAATTAAATGCTGCTTGGGTTGCAGAGCCTGCCCCTCCTGATAACATCTGTGATTCAGAGTTAATCACCCACACAACACAGAAGCCAGCAGATACATTCAAATCCCCTTCTGTCTGTTAAAATCCCTTAAATTACCCACAGATAAACCATGAATGAAAGCCACAAGATATATATATATATATTTATAATTGGAAAGAAGCTAGAACATTTGCCAGAGCACCAGATTGCAGATTGCACCACTCAGTGCAGTTGGTGAAGCTGACKCTGGCATTGCTGTGTCAGAGCCATCCTAAAACCCCAAAATTTCATCTCCTCTCTGTCCCTGCACTGGGATCAACAGGCTGGCTCTGAGGACCCACATCCTTGCTGAGATGATCCCTTTGCAGCAGGAGTTAGAACGATCTGAGCATCAGAGAGTCCCCAGATGGCCATGGCAAACCAGGCTGCTCATCCCTTTTCAGCCTGGATGCGAAACCTGAGGGATTTTCCTGGTTTTCATCCTTCTCCCACCCCAGGGAGTGGGGTTGGGGGGTCTTGAGGGAGCATCTCCTGTCCTGATGTGCACCCACAGCACAGCAGCAGGAAAACACAAAACAGGCAGTGACAGAGAACTTGGGGAGACATTAAAAAGGCAGAAATTGAACTGGGCTGTGATTCCTCCRTGAAATCAACCTGTAGGGTGGGAAGAACGATGATGAGATGATGCACTGTATTTAAATGCAGGAAGTTCTGATTTTTGTTTGAACACATTTGTCTGCCAGCCAAATGCTGTGAGTCAGACCTGGGTTTTGTGAGGATCAGCAGATCTGTAGCTCAGGGCAGGATCCCTCCTCTAATCTGTTGAGCTTCACAAAAGCAAAGATCATTCTTTTTGCCTGAGGAGGTGTGGATAAAAAAGTTTTAATTTCTATTAAGATATGGCCTATGATTTTGAATTTTTAATGGCATTTCCTAAATAGCCGTATTGAGGAAAGGCATTTCAGTCCCAATACATATGACTTTAGTYAGCTGAACACACAATCCTTGAACTATCCCTGCAACCAGCAGAAGACCCATCTTCACTTACAAGGCCCTGAAAAAAACCTGGATATTCACCCAATAGTCATTTTGGGGGTTTGGCTGTTTGCTGGATTTGAGTTGAAGGCAGAAAACTTTAAAAAAGAAAAAATCTAAGAGAAGAGGAGTGAGCAACAGCTGCAGGCTGCTGGTGGGGAATGGGAATTCAAGGAAAACAACTTGAACAGAGAGAAAGTGGCAGGGACATGGCCAGAACCTTTGCAGCCCTTTCTCTGCTTTTTTCAGCCCCTGTGAGATGTGTGGGTGTTTCTGTTCCTCTCTCCCTCGGGTGGTGCTGACTGAAGATGAGGTGACCTCTCCTGAAAGCAAATTTTGTGCCAGAGGAGATTCAGCCAAGTGCTGGGCAAGCTGCTCTGAGGTTGGGAGAAGTTTTTTGAGAGAAAAACCATCTGTGTCCTGACTGGGAGCAAGGAGCCTTGACCTCCTGTGATTTATTCTTGGGATGGTTGGATGCTGAATGGGGGCTCTGCTTTTTTCTTGTCCTTTGAAGTTTAAAATTCAGCCTGTGAGAGACAAATTTACCAAAGCAGCATGTGGGGGTTTCTGCTTGGTTCCTATATTACAAACAGGAAAATTTTAAATTCCCAGTTCTTTTGCTCCCTTTGAAAGTTCAGCTCACGTAGATGTTGACCAAAATGTCAKAGGGGTTGTTTTTAAATAGGAGTAATAACAGTTGGGGGAGACTGACTCACTGGATGGAACTCTCTTGTTTTTTCAAGCCCAAGGAAAAAAAGATGTAATTTTCACTTGTGCTCTATGGCATTCCCTCGTTAGCTTACCCCAGATTTTCATCAGTGAGGTCAGGATTTGGACTTCCATCTGCAGTGGCTGTGTGACACACCGTGTCAATAAACACGGGAGGGCTGTTTTCTAGAAAAACATCCACCAGCCTAGAGGTTCCCTTTGCTGAAATACAGGCAGGGTTGACATCCAGCACAACCAGAAAAGCCAGCCCTGGGTGATACTGGTTCACCCAGGAGTCATGGTCCTGATGCAACCAATACTCACAATGTTGAACAAGTGTTTTTCCTCCTGTCCCAGGCACGCAGAGCCCCAGAAATGCACTTTTGCTGTGTTTATTCCAGMCAAATCTCATCTCCAGCTTACGTGACTCCTTTGACATCCCAGCACTCACAGAATTCTCCCCTCCTTTGCCTGTTTGATCACATTTCTCTGAGTGTCCTTGCTCCTGAGTTCTGAGGGCTGAGCTATGGATGTGTGTATGTGCAGATCTCTATCTTCTACTTGTGCAAGAACAGGAAACCTCCTGCCTGCTTTTTCACCTTTCYCTTGTCCTTTTTACTCTTTTTCTTATCCCAGGAAGCCTGCTCATTGCCAAGACACGAGAGGCCTTTTTAAACACCTTTTCTGATGTTTTTGCTTTACCTGAAAGAGCCAGAACTACCAGAACCCCTTCYCTGGAGATGCTGGAGCCCAGCTCAGCCACACACACAGGTATTTTGGAGGGTTTACAGTGAATTTTGTCCAAGCTGAGGAAACAGAACTGAACTAAAATAGGAAGCTGTTAAATATCACTGATTTAAAGAGAAAATARCCCCCTTAYTCTTTCCAATATTTGCATAGAGGAYAACTTCTCATACCTTCCCTTCTCACAACTCTTCCCAAGCTCTTTGTTGTGGCAAAGTATTTATTTCCATCTCTTCCTCCATAAACTCCACAATAGGTGATTTTCATTAGATTTTTTTCAGTTCTGGTGTAATTTCTTTCATGACTTC